TGACGTCGCAGTACACAACAATGCAGGAAATATTCTAGTGTACGTAGATATACCACGGCCTCTGTGGTCACAGCAAGCACAAGGGAAAGTGTTGACGATAACGTAAACGCGAGGGACACGAGACGTGGTCATCAGAACTGGCCTTAAAACTCGTCTTTTATGTGCGAACGCCGCAGCAAATGTAGCTGCAAGACACGCGTGAAGGAGCGCACGAGCATTTACTTGAGGTAATGCATTCGAGCAAAATATTCTAGGGGATATATACAGGAAGTGTTTAAATTCCAAGGTGAAATGACACAAATTTTCAAAATTTCAAGGAAACCGCAAAAAATGCGGATGGAAACATGAATTAAATTTATATGGTTTACATGCTTCACAAGCGAGCAAGATTATAATTGTTGAAGTTGAGATGAGTTAAAAGAGTAGAGTGAGTTAAAATGAGCGATTAAAAATGAGTGAGTTAAAATGAGTGAGTTAAATGAGTGAGTTAAATGAGCGAGTTAAAATAAGTGAGTTGAAATGAGGAATACTGTAATTGTATCACCGAGTTAGGGCAGCGATCGACAAAGCACGGCTCGCGAGCCGTGTATAAAAATATATTTTTTTAAGCTTAATGTGTCGAAATAATTAATGCAATAAATAATAATTACTAAGTATTCGGATTAATGCATGCCGTTTTGGTAACAACGCATCACAGCAGCAGCTAAGAAATAAACTACCCGCTGCAGAAGCATCACAAATACAAAACATATCCACCTATTAGTGACACAAACAGTTAATTGACAAAAATGCTTGAGCCCACTAGGTATGGAGAAGTATCCTGATCAGAGTGTTCAGTGTAAATGCGAGTTTTACAAGATATACGACAAAATGTAAAACTTTCTGCCGATATTTTGCAAGTCATTGATGCACTTAAATCTAACTAGGCTACGATCCAATAATCACATAAACGGTTAGAATTTAGAGTACAATGTAACTCAGTACTCACTGCAGCGAGTGCCAGAGAGCGCGTTTTCTCGTCGACGAAAACTTGAGGTCACGGACGGACATGCAGACGGACAGACAGACAGACAGACAGACGGACATGGCTAGCACAATAGTGCATTTTTTTCAATAAATGAGAAATGCGCTAACAAGGTGCTGTATCTAGACTTTGTGTTTCTTAACTGTAAAGATTGCTCCACGCAGCGTTGTGGTGCGCTATAGAGTATCAAAACAGTGAACACGACGGTTTCCTGTCCAGGCGCATTGCGCTGACCTTGCGCAATTCTCTTGCAGGAAACTTGCAATGTATTGAACATAAGAATATACTTGTTTTCCTCCCATGGATGCTAAATAAGAATAATATAAATAAATAAATATACTTGTTATCCTCTCATGGATGCAAAATAAGAAAAATTTAAATAAGCATATATACTTGTTATCCTCCCTTGGATACAAAATAAGAAAATTACGAATAAATAAATATACATGTTATCCTCTCATGGATGCAAAATAAAAAAATTATGAAAAAAAATTATCAATAATAACCAAATCGAGGCCACAATAGTCCACATAAAAACGCCTCCTCAACTTGTTGTCTATACCACGATCCAACTTCAACAGAATCTGTCAACGTTTCAGAATCGAGTCACTGTTGAACTTCACATGAGATTATCCCGATCTCAAGAATTTGTTGACGAAGCATTGGTCCGTTTCTAGGACTAGGTCACTTGGTAATGCTAGTTACAAATTTTACTTAGAAAACCATAATATTGACTCAATGCTACTAAGCAGGCCTTAAAACCTTGTCAAAGGATTTATCATTTGATGGAAATCACATAAGATTAGAATATTAAATTAACATTGTAACAACAGTCAGAATTTTACACAGGAAAAATGTCACCTCGAGAAAAATATCATTTTTTTCAGCTTTTAGAAAGACAGATCACCGCAGAGCCATAAGAAACTGCTTGTGCTGTAGGAAGATAAATTATAAATCGAGCTCTTGTTCTCAGTCGAGAATATATGGCTCATATTATAACTTCATTTTAGTAATATTAAAATATTTTTAATTACGGAAATTATCAACGAAAAATAAACTGCCTATTGATCGTTTATACGAAAATTTATGAGTTTATGGGGTTAAGGCAAAAAGACTTGAGGTTAACGTAACTGAACTTCAACTCTTAGCATGAAGAGCTCGAGAGGTATAAGCTGGTAAATAATAAAAGTGTCTTCAGAAGAACCCGAGTTTTCTGACAAACTACCGAATTAAATGTTTGCAAAAATACCCGAATTTTCGTCTCGTATTAGTCCTGTTCACCCATCAAGCTTTGATCAATTGAAACGATTGTAGATAATAACAAAATTGAGGTTTTGAAGTTATGAATCAGTCTAACCAGGAAATGACGAACGACTATATAGTCTCCCTACCTCGCATACGTCACACAGCCACACATGTACTCATTTCAGTGCAATCTATCAATAAGCCTACAAACACACGAACCAAGAGTAGAGCGGGGGAAACTTCGCTTCCATTACTTGAATGGGTGTATCGGCAACTGGAAGGCTCAATATTGGTGAGCTTGCGTTGCTACAACAGTGATCATGCAATCAAATAATTTATGACTTGAACCAATTTAATACAGTTAAAAAATGATTCCGGCCCGATGCAGTAGGTATAATCTACGCGTGCACAAATCACCAACAGGTGATGGGAATGACGCACCGCAATCGTCCCACACAGGCAGAGGAGACAGAGACGAGATCAGAAATGGTCTCCTCAGGCTGTGGTGGGAAATGACGAACTCATTTCCTATGACGGAAAATTTTAATGCATATGATTCAGATGATTTCTATTTCGCTAAATCACAATCACGGAGACGTATGGTAAGACAACGATTTTTTAAAGGCTTTAAAATTTTGACATTCACACCAAAATATTGGAATTCGTTATCGGGCTCCGAGAAATTTAACGATAACCTCATTTAATTGACGATGCTATCAAATTCTGCGAAATAAAAATACCATTACCTAGCTAGTTCATGGGTTTAGAATTATTCCTGTCGATCACGGCTGCCTGTTAAATTTAAATTACCTAAAATCGTAATGCTCGAGATCATCCCGGTATTTTTTTACTTACCATCCCCCTGGGGACAGTGTCACAAATCAACTCGATGTCTTCAGCTTTCCGACCACGCCTGTTAACTGTTCGCTGTTTGTCATAGAATAGAATAGAATAGAATAGAATAGATCATATAAAGTGCTATATAGAGCATATGGGCACCTACCATAGCCCATATAAAGTGCTATATAGAGCATATGGGCACCTACCATAGCCCATATAAAGAGCTATATAGAGCATATGGGCACCTACCATAGCCCGTATAAAGTGCTATATATAGAGTCTAAGATTCCTTAGAAGTTTTGTGTGATTCTCGAGGTTCGCCGGAGCTTGTATAGGATCGAATTGGTCTAGAGAGGCTTTTTTTGCTCGGACAAAGCGTCGTGCGAGACTCGAGATTTTCAGTTGAGGGATGGAGGACAGGTGCGCCGTACGATAATATTGTACTATTGATATTTTGCTTTGAAACTTCGTCTTCAGGGTCGAAGTAGGAATTAAGTTCTATGAGTTCTAGCTTCACCGTAACTGTTTTGTATTGTTTTGTATTTATCCACTAATTTTAATATCACAAAAGATCCCTCACGTTTCCTGAATTTCATCAAAGACGCTCTAAATTAAATTTATTTGCAAGATTTTAACCTCATCTATATAAGATAAAACCTGATGCATAATGTTGAATTAGCGCACTCCATCATTGCTGAAAAATTTATATTATATAATTTCGTTGTGATATGATAAACTAGTTTGGAATATTTCGTAAAACTAACATACTAGCCGAGTTCTGAATGACAAATTAACAAAGATTAATCATCATATTTAATCATCTCTTAGCTCAGAAGAGTTACATTATAGCCGTACATTGCTGAACTCAAATGGCATTTCAAGCGATCAATATAACGATCCACAAGCAATTGAAATAAATGACTCCATTTTGAATATATTGCATCAACAAAGTGACTGAAGATGGAGAAATTCTGATACGGAAAAGCAATAATGGATAGAAAGTGCGTAGCAATCACATGGCAAATGCAGCTCTTTGTTCACAAGAAAAAATAGAGATCACGCATGCAACTTGTCACTTGATTTCACGATTCGATTAGATTGATTTCGTACGAGCGAACAGCCATCAACGTAGAAGGCTTTACCATGCATCACTGAAACTATTGTTTTCTATCTATTTTTAATTTATTAGCTCTTTGTCTTAGTATTAATTTAAAAACGCAGTTTGAGTACATGCAGCAACGTGTAATTTACAAAAAGGAGCTAACCTGACGTACCGTAGTTTATATAACTAAGCTAAAGGCGTTTAATTTTGATAATGATTATCTTCTATTACGTAAATATTACGAGTATGGCGTGAAGATATGAAGCACGCGGACTGATATACGAACATATGACATTTGTACTTGGCTGTCCAAGACATTTTTGTGAGACTCTGACCTAATCAAAGTTGATGAGTGAATAGTGGAACGTTTGGCGTGGTGAGTGCCCGTATACAGAGGCTGCTGAGGAGTTGAAAGTCTTATTAATTGTAAAAAATGAGGTTTTCGCAAGTTATTTGGTAATCTTTTGGAATCGTTGGCAAGAGTTGGTAGAAATGATAGAGAGTCGAGTGAAAAGAGTTGACAAATTTCCAAGACATCAATGACCTTATCTTAACTCGAAAGATTGGTTATAAAATCGAGCTTATATTTTAGGTGAATGCGCGGTGCGAATTTTATTGACAATTCTAGCCACGAAATCTAGTTCAGAAGACGCGTTAATGTCATCATAGGCAAACCTATGCAAAATACTAATCCACTGTTGATATACATAAACAACAAGATCTGATACATCGAGCCCTTAAAACTAAAATGAATATAGCGGCTAAAATTTGCTCAATAGTTTTACTCACCATTTTGAAAAGTTTGTCGCGAGTTTCTTTCGAAATGGAAGAGTCAAGTTATTGCCAAGCTTTGTTTTTGTTGCGTAACTTCGTCGGATATTCTAGATAAATATGATCTTTAAATGAATTTTTTACGTGTATCACCAGAAAACTTCGAGTGTTGCAACAGTTTCCCAGCGACGTAAGTTGAAGTGAACGCCAAGCCGGCCGACAGCTGTCTGAAGCGTGGACGGCGACGAGCTGCTTATATACCTGCCGGTAACTTCCTCGACACCGTGATTAGCGCCAGCCCCTCCTCCTGTCTGGTTCAAAAAACAATTTTTTAACATTTAATTCGAGTGCGAGGAAACGACTTAATATTAGCTTGAATAATTGTGTAATGTATCTCAGCGAACTGCTGAGCGAACTGGAATCAAGCTACGACACGGAAAATAATCAATTCATAGGCAAACTACATTTTTCAAATAGAATGCAATTCTATGAATCACTGGCAAGCCTAGCTAATTTTTTTGCTAATTAGCGATAACAAATTAACGATTCACACTAGCGTTAACAAATTTCCGGAATACGTAGAATGAATTAATACAAATATTTTGACTCAGTGCCGCAGATTTGACTAAACGAAAAGTATTTGTGGGGTGAATACTGAAACATGGGGTCGTATTTGATTTTCGGCATATTCTTAATTTTAATAAACGAAAAGAAAATTATGTTGTTGTTGCATTTAATTCTCTTTCCAATAATCTCTATTGAAATATCCAGGAATTATGGGAATTATGAAGAAAAATAAGATGAAAAAATTTAGGTCTTCCCCATTTCCCCATCTATTTTGTTATAGATTTTCAACGCATCGGTAGAATTTTCGGAACGTTTACCTTCAAGTTTCAAAGAAACATAACTTCTTGAAGTTGTAAATAACTTCAATATAATAACTAGGTATAAGATAAAAAGTTGTTAAAGGATAGGCCATAAAACTCTGCTCCAACATGTGGCCTGGATCCAACATGCACAAACCTACACACGAGTCCGTCGGAGAATCAAGAGGAATGTCGATTATGAATGAGCAGTTATTGAGCACACTGCGTTTGCTAAAAAAAAATTGCTCATTGCGTCCCCGTGCGAGTTCGCTATTGAGTTCCGAGAATTGTCGATTACGTGTCGCAGCATCACCGATAAAATCAGCCAAAACTTTATGCGCTTATTCATTCTCGGTTTAGGTTACGCTAGGTACTCCATGATTTCGTAAACCGAATCGTATTGGCTTTATCCGGCAGTGAAATCAAATTCGAAGCGTCAGTGATATCTGGAGCTGTTTGGAACACAAAAAATTCTCTAATATTCACTATGACAGTTGGATTACATATAATCGCACAATATTTTTTTACAGTTTCGTTTTGTTATAATATTACAGCACGTGACCAGGTTCAGTCACAGGACAAGACATAGATTCCGTCCTTGGTAGGAGTGTGGCTGTGATACTAAACGCTCTTATACCTGATTGCGGATGCGAGTGTTGCCACTTACCAGAGTAAGCTTAACTTCGAAAGCTGCGTCATCATTGAGATGTTCGTTCAGAGAATAGTGTGTATGAAACAGCGACATAAATTTTTGGTGAGTGCGTTTGGCTTTATATGTGAATTTTAGTTTTACTTATTTACCGTGCAGGAGATCTGGTGACGCTCTTTATATTTAATATAAATGCACGGTCTCACAATAGGAAGAGGTTTACGTATATATTGTGACCTAACAATTCGGCGTCGGCGTTGCCAGCGTGTCATAATGCAGCACTAGATGCTCCTTAGTCCTTTTAATGTTTGACAATATCTTGCACTTGCAGTAATCATTATTTGCCCGGCTGTTATTACATGATGTCGTTAATATTTATTTTTGCCAAACTTAAGAAGCCTATAATTTTATGTTGAACTGTTGAAGCTTATCGTAAGTAGTACTACGCAAGATGAATAGGCTAGGCACTAACACTCTAACAGCGAGTTATGCTCGAAGTAGTAGACTAGTAGGTAGCTAATTTCAGGTTCATTTTCAACTATTATTTAAACAACAAAAGGCGCCATCCCAGAATATGTTTGAATAAGATATGATACATATAGTAACCTCAAAAGTCAAAAGCCTCAACATATATTTCTTAGCAGTTAGCATGTATTGTAGAACAAGAACAGTATTTTTAACTCGTTCAAAGTTGCACTTTGCATAGAATCCATGTTAAGACTATCTATTAAAATGGTCGGAAATTACAAAAAATGATCACCCTACTGAAATACCAGTAAAGCTCTTTACTGGAAAGATTTTTTTATGACCTGCTCTACCACTAGAATTTGGGATTAATATGACTATATCAGGGCGTAATCAGGCAGTTCAGGCTATATGATCAAAAAATTTAGATTGAATTGTAAAAGAATTATCTAGAACCTTTTCTGTATAACTCTGCAGATATGTTTGGTTCAACAAGTAACATAGTTGAAACTCAGGCATTAGAGCATAGTGACAAACCACAGATTTTTTAGAATTGGTTCTTTTTTAATTTCCTCTTCTTCAGTTCTATTCAAAGTTCAAGCCAATATAAACAACCCACTGGTTGGTTGTTGGTGGTTTATAAAAATAGTTACCAAATATTTAGAAGAGCAAAAAAATTAAGTATAATTGGAACTTGGAAGTTATAGCACAGTCAATTCAGTCATGTTGATGTCATGAACAAAGACTTGAAATAATATAAAATGAGTTACTTTAATTTGTGTACCAGATAAAGCATATTAATAATTTCCTTTCCAGTTGCAAGGATTTAATTTGCCAATCCTAACAGTCACACCAGCAGGCAGTTGGGCATTGGCAGTTTTGGCCCCTGCACCTAATGTTTTAAATACATTATACATGAATGCCTATTACCAAAATTTCACACTCTACATAATCAAATTTGAAAACTTAAAGGCATATGTGGCACACATAGTATAATATGCACACAATGATGTATGTTGGTATTATGGTATGAGAATTTTCATCTATACCCTTATTTAACTCATGTCTATTTTATGGCCCAAGCTGGAATTACATGTCAGGTGTTCCACCTAGATACCCAATTGTGTTGGGCTGTGCATATAATGCATAATAAAAGCACTAATAGAGTCCCAACCTAACAGTTAACATTTAACAGTGTTAACAGTTAACAGTGTTAATAGTTAATAATATAGTGATAGTCCCCTAAAACTTCAAGTACTATGTACAAAATACATGCAAAAAAGTTGCTAGTTCACTGGGTTACCACTATACCATTCTCCATGCATACTCAGGCTTGTTTGAAAATATTTGTGGCATCTTTCTGTAATATATTTTGTTGAGAATGAGAACAAATTCTTTAATTAATGAATTGATATCAGTTTGAGACTTTGAGTTGTTGTCAATATAAGCCAAAGTTTGATATTTATGTGTCTCTGTGAGAATCTAAAGCATTTGAGCAAATGGTTGCATCTAATTAGGTTAAGAAATCATCATGTTAGGATTGTTTTCATAGCAGCAAAACTCAGAAACTTAGAAAGTTTTATCTTGCAGGTATTCTGCTGCAAGCTTCTAGAGTACAAGACATGGTGTTTATGTTGTCAACCTCTGCCATGCCTGCCAATGTCCATGAGTGAAGAAATTGGATTTTATCTGAAATTTATGCTTTACATGGTGAAAACCTGCTTGTTATAAGGTGAGAACCAAATGTTACTGTGCCAATTCTATGTTGTGAAATATTTCTGAACTGTATTTAATACATATATATATTGATATATATATATATATAAAATAGGTACATATATATTGATAATATCATCCTAAATTTTGATTTTGTTGTAGAATATTTAACTTTATTTCTTGCCTATTTTTTTATATAATCATTGAGATGTATTTTGAATATAGAATTTGATTTAATTATGAATAATAATCATCAATATTAACCCATTAATATTAACCCATAATCATGTGTTGATTTGAAAATAAGTGACAGGCTGATTATACTTCTTTGTTTTGCTTTATTTTTGAGGACACTTTCCTAAATTTCCCTCCTACCTGGCTAAGGGACTCTGAAGTTATACTATGCAAGTGTCTGACTTAATGTGTCCTTGTCAGAGAAGTTATTTAATCATGAATTGAAATTCTTGAAACAAGTACTGTCAAAAATGGTGTACAACATTTACTGTCAATCAACATTTAAGATATAAATATGATTACAGAAATTGAATTGACCTAAAATTTAGAATGCAAAGAATAAGCCACAAAAATTTATCATGCCATGCAGAAAAGGTTTTGAAGTTCAGCTGCTCAGTCAGCTTAAAACTTCTAAAGTACAGATATCAGTTGGTGCATTTAAAATTCAAAAACAATGTTAAAACTTTAATTTGAGAGGTTTTCATGTTTTCAAACTTTTCAGTAGAGGCGAAAAACCGCGGCGCGCTATATAAAGGCATGTAACGTAGCGTAGATACCGGAAGTAAGCGTTATCTCACTTCAAAGTCAGTCAGCGGCGCATAGGACAACTACATGAACACCTTTCCGCATGATGGCTGAGTGATAACTGAGCTGCAGGTCCAGTGATAGCCATTTTATATGGCTTGGCCGTAATTATCCCCAGAGTCTTTTGTCAAGGGACAACACCACCCTCCCCCTTTTCGGGATCTGTCCGGAATGCATAAATCAACGTACAGAGATGGTTCTAGTACTGTTCAATGCGGCAGAAAGTAAGCTTTAAGATGAGCTTTAAAACCGGAAAAGACGAAAATTTCGATTTTTAGGGTAGATGCTCCCCTTAAGTGGATAAGAGCTAAAAACCATATTCAAACTCAGTCTCTGTTTAAAAATCAGGGATTCATAAATTTGCAAACATGAGGCACCAAGAAAGGGAGCTAAAATTTTCAAGTTAATATCTGAAATAAGCTCATTGCACTGCTGAGCATGACTGCACTCTTGATGATTTTTGTAATGAAGAAGATAGGCTTCTAAATGTTGCCTAAATATAAAGATATGGTGAAATTTTGTGGCCTACATATTCTTTGCTGTTAAATTTTAGGTTAATCTGTGATTCAACCAATTGTGTGACATTAATATTCACAAATATTGATTGGTAGATATTTAATGATTTTAAGAACTAGAAGATGTAGATGAGTAGAGTAATTTGCTTTGCAAAAAAGTGTCCAATCTGTTACTTTTGAGGTAATGGAGTAGTGACTGTAAATTTTTGCCATATTTGTAAAGATCTCTATTATTGTAATGTGGCTCAGGGCTTTAATATGTTTAATATTAAATTTAATATTTAATAATTTGTGGCTCTTTTTGATCACTGTTGTTGGTCTGAAACTGGGAAGTTGAAATGAATCTTCATATTCTGCATAGTATAGTAAAGACAGTATTAACTAATCCTATGATGTTTTTAAGTATAATCTTATCCGTTGTATGTAATGTAATGGCATTTGAAATTTTGTGAAAAATATTGGTCTGCATTGTGGCTACTTCACACCATTTTCTTGCTGATCATCTTTGCTTTGGTCTTTGATTCTGCCTGCTTATTTGCAAACTATTCTTAATGTCCAGTCGAAAGTTTCTTTAGTTTAAAAATTTAAGATGTTTATTATATATACATCAATATATTTATTGTAAATGAAATTAGGTACTTGTCAAAATATGAATGTAACCGTTCTTGTGAAAGAATTGTAACAATTCTTATATAAGGATTGTAAAACCTTAAAAACTTGGCACAAGGAACCTGTTTTCAATGCATGCATTTAAAATTTTGTTAATTACTTTCTTTGAGGTTCACTAAGCCAGGATTTCATTTCCCTGCATTAGATTGATACAATTTAAATGTTAACCGACCTGGTTCGATTCAAATGATAATATATGTATTTTGTTACACCAGACAGGGTATGTTCTGGTACTTTTTTTATGCTTGCAAAATTTGTTATTAAGCATTTCCTGTTGAATTTATATTATTTGTGTTATGTTTCTTGGCTTGTGCTGAGTGTCCAGCAGTCTTATGGGATTGCTATTAAAAACTTAATAGGAAGTTGATGGGTCCTGACTTTATGTAAATTGCTATGTTAGATTAAGCTTTCAACTCTGAGTACCGTATCCAACCGAGTAAAATTTGAATGTCCTAAAGGGATCAATAAGCTACCAAGATAAACTGGCTAGAATTATTTGTCTAACAATATTTATAAAAATGTGTGAAAATTCCTGCAATTGCATTTCTGCTCATACCGGTATTAAGTTCTTGTTCTAACTGATGAATCAAACACTGTCAAAAAAGGGTTAGCAAAATAATTCCATGAGATTTTTTAACATTGTTAGTGAGGTACAAAGTTAGCGTTTTACCTCGTATATGAGGCTATATATTTTTGAAATCCTAAGTATGGACCCTGAACCTAACCTTGTTTGCTGACCTATTTACATAATAAAGATGAAATGAAAACATGATAGGGATTTTAATGTTAACTTGGCTTCACTGCAATCTTAAGCTTGATTAACATTTATTTTCATTGCCTCTCCAACACAATTCTGCTCTCCTTAGTCATTCTTTGATATCATATTCTTTTTAGTGCAACTATGTCATACCTTACATGCCTGAATTACTAGTACACCTTACATGCCTGAATTACTAGTGTGTATATGAACCCCTCTTCTAGAGCTTAGTTACATAAGTGTGGTTCTTCTGCATGCAGTACCTTTAACAGAATACATTTCGGGATACACTCTGGACAGGATAAAGACATTAATATGGATCATCATCATCTCATCTGTGCTTCTATGTTGCCTTCCATGGACGTTCAATAAGCCTTCATCACTGAATGTTAACCCAACTTGGCGTGTATAGTGGAATTAGTCTACTCCATTTCCACAGAGGCAGCATGGACAACTTGAGCCAAGGAGGCCCTGATCTCTCTTCGTCTAGGCTGGACATGTCGCAGCTTGAGATTTCTTGCGCCAAAGAAATTCAGCAACACGTTCAAGACAATTCCTGTGATTTCACTTTCTTTAGGCCGCGTGTTAATTCCAATGAATCTAAAGGATCAAACGTGTCCACACCAATTACCGAGTGCGTGAATTTTTCCAAGAAAGAGGATTTGAATCATTTACTTATTGAGTGTGAGGTTACAAGTTCATCACCTCCTACCTCAAACTTGGATTCCGAGAAAATGAATAATGGCTGCTTTCCTGACCACTCTAACAAGGAGAATGCAAGTATTGCGTCTCGTCCGGCAGCGAGAGATGCAAGAACCGCAGCATCAACCAAGGAATTAGAGATCGAAGGCAAAGGGATCGCTAGTACTTGTAATCCGAATAAACTTGTTCATCTCAGTAAACACTCGAATACACTTTCAGGCAAAGAAGCACCTTTAGATATTAACTCGGTTATGGTTGAGGTTTGTGATTCGCAACGCCTTAACTGCTCCAAGGGGCAACTGCACGTTGACTCAGCCATTAAGTTGAACCCCGAGAAAGCAAAAATTAATTTACCTGGCTTAACCAAGACAAGTAATATTGATGAAGTGCATATTGAACCTGAGTATTATAATGACGTAATTTCTCAAAAGGAAAAAAGTAGCTCGTTGGTTTCAAAACAATTATTTGAGTATAAAAAAGTACAAGTTCTCAACATTGCTCAAGGGTTTGGTCGAGAACATGTATTTCCTTCAGTCATTGATGAAGGAAGCCCATTTTATTCTGAATTGTTGGAAACTTACAGAAAGAAAATGGTTAAGAGAAATAAACAATCGAATATCAAATTCGGTAAAAATACTGTCCCTCACATGCTGCTCCTTCAACCTCGGCAACTGGGGTTTCCTGGGAAGGCATTTTCCCCAAACAGGATATTCCACGAAGCTCATAAGGATCTGCTGGATGATCATGCTGCAAAAGAGAACGCTGCAGAACGTGAACATGGAAAAAATGCACTCGTGAATTCCCTATCATCTGAAGTTGAAATCATATCTGCTAAGAAGAAAGACACGTCAGTCGCCTCGTCTCATCTTAAGGATGAATCTTTTGATATTGAGGTTAGTGGAGCTAATGAGAAGGCAAATAAAATTGAAGCAACGAAGTGCAGTGATTCGTGTGTTTACGAAACCTCTAGTGACATCTGCTCATCAAGTGATGGTGGCAATATTCTCAAAAATTCTGAGACTATTAGTGGGAAAAATGTTATTGAAAAACAAGATTCTGTTGCTTTTGAACTACCCGTGGCATCGGCTACTCGCGTAATCGGTAATGTTGTGCAAAATCGCAGAAAATCCCCCAATCAATTTATTACTTCACCACATTCAACTGGCTCCCTAAAAAGTAGCACTGCTGGTTCTAAGGCACAAAATAATAACAATTCGGCATCGTGCTCTCAACCAAAATTTACGGAGAGTAAAGAGACCAGTCCTAAAGCACTTGATACCTCCTCGGTAAAGAAACCTACAAACATGACAAGTTACAAAGTCCTAGTGCCTTCAGGTAAAAATTCTTTTAAATGGGTCACTTTCACACTTCCGAACGGCGCAGGCCCTCCTAAAACTAACGGTAAAAAACCTGACTCTAACAAATTTGCTTCATCCAGTGGAGGGGCCATGACTTTAAATACACCAGGATATTCAAGAAAAGTAGATAACAAACATCTACCTCATCGCTCTGACGCCAACGATTTGAAACGGTCAAATGCCTTATTATGGTCGCAGCCGAAGCGTCGTAACGATAAATTGCATCTGACTCGCGTAGGTCATCAGTCATTTTCAGTACCTGTCATCAGTAACAGCGATGCCTCGTCTTCGACGAAGGCATCTTCATCGATAGACTCTGCAAAATCACAAGATACACAATTAAACGGAACTCGCGCGCGGAAACTCGAAAACTCTACCCAAGCTGACTCTAGCAAGCAAAAAAATTTTAAAAACAAAAATAACGATGGCCAAGTAGCCGATGATTCTAGTTCTGATGATGAGTTAATCATTGACGAAATTCCTGTAGACTCCGATAGTTCTCCTGCTAAAGACGTGTGCGGTGAAGCTTCACCAAGAAGTAAAACTGCAATTCCTGCATATCGGCGAAATAATAAACCTGGATCTGATACCGAATATAATGTTCGGGAAGAACTGGGTAAACAAAAATCAACAGAAAGATTACAGACAAACGTCGAATGTTCCTCATTATTATCACCCAAACGTACATCACAGCTGGGAGCTGTCGACCCTCTTAAATTAAAACCTAATACCTCATCAGTTACCAAAAATGTTACCAGTGACAACTCCACTGAAAGAGAAAACGGCAGTCGCGCTAGCGATTTAAATAAAACATCATCTATATCTCTTTCAGCAGTTCTTGGTTCACATTTAATGCTTGACGGGAAAGGTAGCCGGGTTGAAGAATCCAGTAGCTTACAAGGTTCGTTGGTTCGATCAGCTTATCCTAACAAAGTCATTTCTGAATCAAAGACATTCAAGAATTTAAGCTCAAGAAGCCCTAAAAATGTAGCAGACATATTGAACAAATATTCTGGAGTGTCTAAGATACAGCATGATAAGTCTCGCGATAAATATTTTACCTCTAACTCCCAGACTTTATCCTTATATGAGAGTACGCCAAGTGCAGCCTCAGTCGCCGCAAACATTTTTCGCGATGTTTCTAACAAGAAGCAGACTCAAAGTTCCAGACCTGCTCAAAATTTCGACAGAAAATCTCCAGACAGAATAACTCTTACACTAGACCAGCTTAAGTTATTGATTCCTTCTAATGTGCTCTCTTCGGTCCCTAAAAAGAAAGGCGAGAGTGCTCAGGAGTTATTAGCCCGAGTCATTGACCGTCAGGCACCCTTATTTTCACAGGATATCTCCGATGTCGGACATGAGTCAACGATGGAACTTGCTGTTCAGTTGCCCGGTAATGATGCAATTATGCCATCTGCCGAGGCTGACCAGCTGTCCTCCGTACACTTCCCTAATGCTGTTGTGAGTGCTTGTGACGAGGCGGACAGTAACGAAGTCGTGGTCCTGTCCTCCTCCAACACTCTGTCGACTACCGACACAAATGAGTTGCGCAAGATCATTGCGTCACCTGAACATTCAAGTTCCAATCATTCTAGTGAAAAAGCGCCTTCCGAACTTCAGCCTGCAAAGGCTGTTCCAGCCGCTGCGCGTCCCGTTAGCCGAAAGAGAACCAAGAAAAGAACTCGCGCCCCAAATATTATTTCTGTTTCTGTTAAAGCGTTCAAAGATGCTGTTAAGCAAGACATAAAATCTCACAAAACGCACTCGTGGAATATTCCACGGATATCTTTGCGCGAAGAAACCGATGATAATGAAGATTTAGATGTCGATGTGAACTCGTATAATGAAGGCGACACAACCCAGATTATTGTGGATCTTATTAAACCACATCTTACCAAATCTAAGAAATCTAAGTCCCCATCCCGTGTGTGCAATAACTTAACTAACCAAAGGCTGAGGTTAAATCACGTTAATCCAGAATTTGATTCTGTAGTAGCTAACCTTAACCATGAAATTGCACGAGCTAAGAAGGAAGTCGGTTCTGTGGAGACGTCAAAAAGCTGCAAGAACCCGCTCCCGTCAAGTGATGTGTCGTCACTCAAGAAGAAGAGCTTTCTTTCTCTGGGTGAGTACATACTTTAAATGCTATTTCTGTATTTTTCAATGCTAATAATCGATATTAGCCAAAGATCGGGCTTTAAAGTGCCAGTAAGAATAGTTACTAGTTTTTCGTTTTACATAGTTTTACGAATGCAAAGCATTGCAGATTGCCCGTCATTTCCATTTCTTCCCATTCTAGTAAATAAATGAATAAAAGAAGACTGTTTTCTTGAGACAGACTACAATTGTAACAAAATGTAACAAACCTCTCGTAAAAACCGATATTTCGCCTATGGTATTGCCTCGATTGGGGCAATATGGTATTGCCTCGATTGGGGCCTCCTTATGTTTGACTAAAATTGTAGCAATATTCAACAAAGCTCTCGTAGAAAATACTCTTGGTAGTATTTCTCTCCCTGAGCTTGGAGGGCGTAGAGCGCATGTTAGTGCATTATTTTCATTGCTATTTCCCACGATTTTAACATGCAGACCGCGCGTTAGCTCATAATTCTTATTGTCATTTCTCGGACAGTCTCGATTAGGGCGCGTATAGTGCACGTTAGTTAACTCATAATTATTATTACCACTTCTCGAACAGTCTCTCGCGTACAGCGACCATTAGTTAGATCATAATTATTATTACCACTTCTCGAACAGTCTCGATTAGGGCGCGTACAGCGACCATTAGTTAGATCATAATTATTATTACCACTTCTCGGACAGTCTCGATTAGGGCGCGCACAGCGCACGTTAGTTAGCTCATAATTATTATTTCCAGGCTCGGATGGCGCGGCAGCCTCAGCGCGGACGGAGATGCACGAGCTGCTGCTGCAGGAGATCTACTACTACGAGCCGTACCCTTCCTCCAGCTTCATCTCCCGCATCTCCAAGGTCCTGCAGTATTCATGGGTATGTTCTTGACCGATATATTGTGTACACAACTCCAGGGAAGTGACGTGTACATAGTTTATTAAATTTATTTATATAAAGACTTCGCCATAATGCCTTCATGCTCCATCAAATTACCTTTATGCTGCGCCATAACGCCTATATTGTGCGCTGTAATCCCTACACTCTGTCCTATAATCCCTATATTATGCCCTGTAATTCCTCTGTTCTCCCCATTAATCCCTATTTTCCCTATATTCTGCTCCATACTCCCTGCTGTACGTGACGCTATGCGGCATATATTTGATGCCACATTACCTTAACATGCATTGCGGTGCCTCAAAACGGTGCCATAACAGTTTATTCGACGCTAAAACGGCGCCATTACTTTAACACGGTGCCTTAATATCTTTATAGGGCGCCTCAATTCCGTTATACAGCGCCTTAATGCCGTTATACGGCGTCATGATATATTTGAATGCGACGCTAAACGGCGCCACAGTGCTATTTCGTTTTACTGCCGCTTGCCTGCTTTGCAATACCCATGCACTGCGTTGCAACATTATGGACTATTTTCCTTCCGACACTATTATACTGAGATGGAATGATTAAATGGTGAGCTAAAATACCTCCAGTGAGATTATTCTCTTAGATATTCCCAAACAATATATTGTCGTAGTTCATAACATAACATAACATAGTGATGTCGGCACTAAAGTGTAGGCCTGATGTGGCCTGTCGCCGATTCTTTTCCTTTTCGTGCCTTGTTCACAGAAGATCTAAAATCGAGTCATTTGCCCGGATCTTTTCATGGCAGAATGGCCCTTCTCTTCCTTGTATTCTTGTGGTTGAAATTTCTGGTTACTGGCCACAGCATGGATAACAACATTTCCATTGAAACTTCTTCTGAAACGTTTTTATAATTTTCAGAGGCGCGTACAGGAGTGGTTCGTGAAGTATCGCTTGCATCAGAAGAAGATGGGAGTCACAGTTCGCTATCATCCACTCAACCAATGCAGGCACTGTATGCTCGAACTCTCCAGCAACGAGGAGGCGCAAAAGCATCTCTACTCCCAGCAGCATCTGTTGCAAGCCCTCAAGAACCATGAGGCCTTCTGTAAGTACTTCATTTTATGTATCAAATATATTTGCCTAGTACCTGTTGTTTTGCTGCATATAATTTTCGTGAGTGTGTGTGTGGAGGCTCAAATTTAAAGGAGGCTCAGACCTATGGAATTTTAAACATGCTTACCTCATCTTTCCAGCAAAGTTACGGTTGTTACAATTGATTTGATGCATCTCAAGTGATGTTTCATCTGGAAATATTTTGTAAACCTTGTATGTTGATTCAGAATGATAATGTTTCAAAACCTTATATGTTGTTTCAGTATTTGATAGTTTTTTAGTTAATACCTGATGAAGACGTATTTTTTACCAGACAAACAAGAAAGCATATTGAATGGACATGAAGTGACAGTACACAAAGAACAAGTAAAAGATGCCAGCAAAGCCCCTGCTGCTCCCAGTCCTGAAATTATTCGCAAATCGAAATATCTGCAGACGGTGCTCAGTCAAGAAGCTGTATTGGGCGATGTGCCAAGCCATCCCATCTCTTCAAATCTGGCGTCTGCGGGAGATGAGATGTGCATATTTGTTGATGAGCGCACAAGATTGAACCAGAATCCTGAGGAGTTGAACGATGAAAGCACGTTGGAAGCGAGCACGGATGTAGATATTGAAACTTGGGAAGAAGATCCGCTTTGTGTTGACATGCTTGCCAGCGAAGGAAATTCTTCGTGTGATGGAATTTCTGCAAATTTGGAAGCAAAAACTGATATGCATGTTCACGAAGGAAAGTCTGCCTGCAAGGAACCCGACGCAGCTGCTGAAGCTATAAGCGAAAATTTTAACAATGATGAAACGCAAAAAAATGGACTTGATGGTCCGCTTCCTGGAAATCAAGACTTGTCAGACGAAGTTGACGTTAACAGTTTGCGTTGTGACGAAGTCTTGGAATTGCATTGGAAGTCGCCTAGGAATTCAGAGTACAACGACTCCAGTTTTGAATTGCCCCGGATTGTTGAAGTCAGGTCGATTGCGGAGACAGATCGGAGCAACACAACAATAACTGAGTTTGGAACAGAAAATGAAATGGGTGGAGAAATGGACCACTATGTTCCTAAATTTGAGGGAAATGTCAGTTTTTCTGGTCATGAAGACGCTCTTAGTGACAAAAACCACTTGCTCGATACAAGTTCTTCAGCCAATTCTTCCGGCGATAGTTTTGATAGTGACGGCGAGGTTGACAGTCGTGTTTCTTTGCAACGTAAACGGAAAGAATGGGATGCGAGTGAAGAAACAATTTCAGCCGATGAATGCACGGAGGATTGCCAAAAACGGAATAATGAGGACTCAGGAAGTGAGGTAACGCCGTGGCCAATCTGTTCAGATCAGAAAGTAGCCGGCATGCCGAATTATGTTGCAAGTAAGCCTGAAAGTGTAAAAGCCGTTATGAGAATATCTGCATCGGGTGACGCGATGAACTTCGATGACAGCAGCTCTGAAGTCGCCAAAGAAGAGAAGACGTTTGTTGCCAATATGGTGGCTGAGGCAGACCCCAAAAAAGTTATCCTCGGATATGAGTGCCCAATTTGTGTGAAGGTATTTCCCAGTGACTGGCGACTATTGCGACACTCGCTCAGTCATCAAACTTTCAAATGTGGTTTGTGTCCAGAACGTTTTCCCAACGAGATCGTGCTGCGCGACCACTTGATGAGTCACGTGTTGAATTCTCTCAGTCAAGATGAACTGCATGCTATGAAGTGCAGTGTTTGTGGTCAGTCAAGCTGCGTTTGCGTACAGCTTAACACACCTCCAATTAAACTAGAAAATCTTCAAACCAACAACCGGCGTATGCAGATGGCTAAGCGATCCAAGAAGTTTTTCATGTCCAAAAAAATTATTGGGCCCTTTGAAGGCTATAGATTGACACTGCATCAGTTCATAGAGATGAACCGTGCTAAAACAGAAGACAATTTCAAAGGGAAAAAGAGGCTGCTCTCATCTGACCATAAACTTACTGAACGATCAAACCTGCATCCCTCGAAACGCATGAAGAAATTAGCTGCTGGGCAGATTGCCAATGATATTCTTAAAAACGATTCCGATGTGCCTTATTATGGAGAAGACATTTTATTGTTACATAATCGTGCATGCCAATTGTGTGGAGAAGTATTTGACCGCAAGTCTCAATTGGATGAACATCTTTTCCTACACCGTTTGAAGGGCAGAGATCGCCGCGGTATGAAAAGACCGTTTGAGGCAGAATCTAATAGCTTGGTTCCAAAGTTAGCTCGCTTAAGTGCCAGTGAAGATTTGACCGAAGTTACGAACTTGTCTAGCAGTACAGAGAAAAATACAGGGAATGCAACCACCGCTCATCTTCATTCAAGTATCATAGGCACTCATTCAGAAGAAATTCCTCCTGTTGCTCCGATGACATCAAAACTGTCTCCTAGGTACCAAGTGCGATGTTTCTTCTGTCAAAAAATTATGAAACGTGAAAGAGAGCTGCGAGTTCATATGAAATTCAGATGCTCTAAAGCACCGCGATCATATTTAAAGAAACTTTTAGGCGCCGGGAAGACGCTGATGTGTCTCGCTGCAGAAGGCCATGGCAAGCTCTATGATATTGTAGACATGCTAACGATGCAGGTACTCGATGACTGCAGCTTCTCGTCGGGTGCCGCCACTGAGCCCAAGTACACAAGTAAGGCGCTTGGGAAGTTGATACCGAAATGCAAGTTCTGCGGCTTGAAGTTTGAACGCGTCCGTGAAGTGAGAAGGCATTTGCAGAACATGTGTCATAGAGTAACAAAACAAACTAAGAAACGAATTGAGGAGGGAGCCACTCTAGAGGACGTGGATGCTGTTGAGCTTTTAAATGAAAATCTTCAGAGGAGAATGAACGAGCATTCAAGTTTATGTGATGAAAAGAGCCAAAAAAGAGATAAATCTTGTGGTAATTCCCTCAGTTCAGTTATAGAATCGGTGATTCATAACTCTCAAAATCAAAGGGCATTTAGTAAATATCCTGCCGGGGAGAAGCTTAGTCCTTATGCTGAAGAAGAAGACCATTCGTCTGTTCTTGGTGTCTCTCCAGATTTACGTGGTAGCTCCAAACCTACTGGTAGCCTAAATTCTTCATATGGAGATGAAGTTGAATCTGAATTTGACGGCTTCACAGATTTGCCTACTAGCGGAAAGATTAATTCGTTGAAAGCTGAACTGCAACTAATGCGTCTGGAGAAGCTTCGTCGGGCTTATCTAGCCCGCCTGAGTAGGCAGAGAAGGAAGATCCAGTCTGCCAGTTCTGGGACCATCTCTGCCAAGAATGACATAACCAGTGTCCGTGCATCGAACTTGGTGGGAAATATTCAATCTTCTAGCCACGAAAATGCAGGAAATTGGAAATCTTCGTTCACAGAAATCAAATTCAACGATCATTTTGAAGTGATTGATTTAGAAGAAGAATGTTCTGATCAAAAGCCCTGCGAAGAAGCTTCAGTATGTATGACTGATTTGACTTTGATATCCCACGAAAACCCCGACACCGGCATTAGCCTGCCAGGTACCCTTCATGAAGGTGATACTTGTTCAGATCCAATCAATAGAAATTCTATGTTAGATTCGCCTACTCAGCTCAGAGCTCAGTGTTCACCAGCAAATAATTGTGAGCAAGAACCCGAAATTATTTCGGAAAAGGACGGCGATTGGACCAAGAAGTGTGAAGTTGAGTCTTTGAGCGATACTTCAATGAAAAGTTCCAACTCTCTACCTATCAAATCTACAAACACAGTCCCGAGTGTTCCTACTTGTAATGATAATGATAAGACAAGGCCATCTTCCATTGAGAAGGAGGAAGATTTAATAACTCGTCCTCCCATAAAAGATAGATCGCCATGTCGTACCGAGAGTGTGACACCAGCCTCGGCAGCAGTGAAGGATGACCCGAAGGCTATATGCGGGTCAGAATCATCAGCTGATCATATCCATAATGACATTACAGACTCCGCTGTTGTAACAAATTGCACTACCGCCGTAGATTTAAATCTCGACAATACTGTTACGGATTCTGCTGTTACTACAAACATCAGTAAAATTGCTGCTGTAGGTTCAAATGAAAATAGTTCCATTATAGACTCCGGCGCTGCTGCGAATTACAGTAACTGTGACACTGCTGTATCAAACGTCAAAAATCTCGTTACACATTCAGCTGTTGCTACAAATTGCACTGACGTTGCTGCAGTAGATGCAAATGGCAATGGGAGAATTTCGGGCTCTGATGTTGCTTATTGTTGCTACAAATTTAATTGACCATGCCGTTCCAATTCCACATGTATTAAGCGCTATCACTGGTACAAGTGACGACGGATCTGTCACTGCTTCTAGTGGCAACATCACCCCTAGTGCAAGTAACGACGTTCCAGCCACTAATTCTATATCCCTAATCGCGGAAACCGTTGAAAGTGATGCAGTCTCGGGTACCGATTCGTGCGACAACTTTGGTGCTAAACTTGAAAGTAACGACTTAGCTGCTACCTGTCTGAGTTCGGTTGCAGGTTCAGATCTTAACGCCACAGTTGCTGTGTCAATTGACATGAAATTGGTCAAGGAGGAGAGCGTCTTCCAAGAGAGTGATGAAAAGGACGCCTCAGAGGAGCAAGTTGAATGCGTTTACTCCGGGATTGTAGTTGATGATCTTCGAGCGGAGGAATTCTTGGGACTTGAGTGCGAGATGGAACTTATGGAGACCTCCTGCACGGAAGAAGTTCTTGACGTGAGCGACGACGAGATTTTGCTTGACTGCAGTGAAGACTGATTATATTTTGTGTGGTTAGTGATTTGGCTGAACAGATTTGCGTGTTGTGTGCCTCAAATATCCTTATCTTCAAGTGCATGATTTTCAAATATTTGCTACTGATCATTTTTCTATAAATACGTATACTCTAATTTAATAAGTGTCACCGTTGCATTGAACTACTCGGATCACATGCCGCCATTACGTTGTAAAAATTCCCAATTGCATGTTGACCATCCCATACGACTTGCTCCGCTTTTCAGTCTTTGGAAACAAATATTGTTTCACTAGAACAAATATTGTATCCAAGTCATTTCCAGATCTTTTATTTTTACTAAGGTTGTTCCTACATTTAGAGATTAAAATTGACTTTAATTTTGTCTGATAGTTGGGAGTTTCGTATAATCATTATTGGATATCATTACAATTTTTTCCACGTTGGTTACTCCTGCTTCGTAGTGCGCTATTCTTTCCTCTATTGCAAATTCTTGCAATTATATACACGGAGAAAAAAGTCTAAACTTGAAGGAAGGGAGAACTTCGGTTTCTTTTTATATACGTATCTGACCATCATTGAAGTATGTTCTCGCAAGACTTGCACCAAAGAATTTGATGAATATTGCGTGTTGATTGTGCACTGCTGAGTTGGTGAACATTGCTTGTTGATTGTGCACAGCTGAGTTGGTGAATATTGCGTGTTGATTGTGCACTACTGAGTTGGTGAACGCTGCGCGCTCTCTGGGCGCTCACTGAATTCTATTTTACTTTAAAATTTGCCGAGTTGATATTGTTTATGCCCACTGCATAAACAATATATAATAAATAAAGTTTAATAAAGTTTTTTTCATAGCGATAATTTTAGTTAGTGTTTTTTTTTGCGATTGGTTTGTGAATCATTTACTGTAGTGCCTACGTGTTCCACACTGCTATTATCATTACATTAATTATTTAAAGTTACTTCTTTGGCTTGTTTAACTCCGACTAATTAACAAATTTAATAATAGTATCAAAGGCTTTCTAAATGCTTCATGCCCTGCAATGTTGGGTACTAAAAGTTGTATTGAACATGAAAGGATAAGTAGACCTGAAGCTGGAAATTAAGTTATGGAGTTATTACTTTAACAAATTAAATATTGTTACCAACCTTCATGACAGTATTCTTATACGCATGCTAGGTTCAGGTCTACTTTGTCATTGTTGGTGATCTTGTTTCCATAGAACGAAGTTTTTCTTATTTTAAAGACAGAGTGAAAAGTTCTTATTAATAGCTTTGAAATGTTTTTATCATGCATTTATTTCTCTCTTCCATGTATTCTGATCATCTTATCTCTCGTCTAATGTATTAATTCACGCAAATAAGTGAATTCGCGAGACCATTCTTTAATGCAGTTAGACCTGGGTGCGCGCTTGAAACCAAAAATAATAGCGGAATTATGGAATATTTGAAAATATCTATTCTTATGGGGCATTGAACCCAAATCTTATTATTACGATTTTGCCCTGCAAAAAATGCCGCAGTTCTTGTGTTGTGCGCTCATATGCTACAACGAAAGCGAACAGACGCGGGCAATATTTCAATCAAGTTACTTTTTTTCAATCAAATAAGTTGAGATTGTCCATCGCCATTCACATCGGAAAGATTCTAGTCTTCAGCATTAATTTTAGCATAAACATGATTTTTGCTACGACGTTCACCGTAACTATCTTATGAGGGCGTACGGCGCTTAATATCATCCTCTGCGCCTCACTGGATGATGTGTATCTTATTACAAAACGCAAATTTCAAACATTGATCTGATTATGCTTGTATGTGTAAGAGTGTCGACTCCACGTCTCGCGCTGTGAGTCTTGCCATTATTATAGAAGGTAGTTTCTCGGTACTAGCTGAACAGCTGCTGAGGTCCAGACAGGTTCTAATGTTAATGTAAGTCTAAGAAGATAAATTACTTTGAGCCGTGTAATATTCGATTAAACTAATAGCAGACGGCGTGAACCCAAGCCCGGGTTCACACCATGCTTCAAAGCACGAGCCAAGCATATGCCAGTCGTGGTCCAGACCAATATTCATAACTGCATTTCTATATAATTATTCACACCAGGACGTACATGGCACCTGCCATGGCCATGGTGTGAATGCTTCCATGGAAATGCAGTAAAGAATAATGGAGTGGCAGGTGCTCGTCTGAATGGTTGTGAACTCGGCCTGAGTCAGATTGCGCGGCATCCGTTAATATGTCCTCTTCATCTTTCAATTTAATAGTGGTTTCAGATGCACTATACAAGATTAGAAATATATTAGTAGCGCCATATATTTTTGTACTTCAGTTACGACCTAAATCGAGTCAATATGAATTTTTATCGTATTGTATACTGTCTTAGTGTTAGTATCTAAATTAAATATAGTTTCAATAACTGGATTTTTCTGTTTTCCTTCAACTCACTAAATTCGTTCACCAGTCACAAATGTTATAACTATTATCCATCGATATAGACCTTTCATAGCATAAAGCTCGTCTTTTTGTAGCTTGACTCCTCAGAGTTCAATTGGGAAAAGACATCCATGCGCATGCCTTCTATAGCATGTGGTAGTGTTCATCATGTCAACGCAAATGTCTAGCTTGTTTTAAAGGAAGATCAAAAGCACAAAATTTTTTTGCATCAGCTTAACTGTCAAAATGGTTATCGCAATAAAGCTCAGTTCATACCGAACATTTATTTCTTTAATGATGTTGAGGTAAATTCAACTATGAGGGAACACAATGACGGACCAATGAGAGTTAAACGAACGTATATTCTGCGTAATTTCAACTTATAGATTGGCCAGCTCTATTTCCCCTGCAGCTTTCTTTTCTTTCAGCCCAGCTATGGTATGTTCTTGGTTAGGCCAAAGAAATTAACTTAATATAAATAAAATAAGGAGGATATCTTTTATGAACAAGTCTAAGCATTTTTTTACAGAAAAATAACTGAGTAAGTCCCATACGTCGTAATGCAGACAGACCAAGTTTATTATACAGCTGCCATCACAGCAGCGAATGTACGGCGTGTGAACAACTTCAACAATTGACGATCACCGCTTCACCAGCACTCAACACATTTTAGAAAAATTAATGGCATCTTCACAGGTGTGCATCAAAATGATGTCCTTCACTGCTTCTCTTTAGCTCCTTCCACCGATTCTGTTACGGACTTGGCAGTGACCTGTTGAAAGAGAATCGTCAACTGAGACATCGATTAGCCTATGAACATTTGTTAGGGCAACTTGTAAAAATTTAACCTTGTCATTTGGCTAATTACGTAATTAAGTTATTTGTACTTTCTTTAAGGGGCAGATAAAAAACGATTCTAATTTTGAAAACTTGCCCTACCTATATGCTCTACCTACGTATTATAGGTACTTCATATTTTCACACTAAACAACAATACTCTACTTTGAGTAAAAATGCACTAAGTACATTTGTTACATGTTCTAGTCAGGAAAGCTACTTAGCATACCGTGATTCTCTCCGGTCGAACAAGGTAGGGCTGGTCAAAAAGATGCTGACAATTGGCATAACCCATGCCAAACCCGCTGCCCAGTCCAAACACTATTGGCCAACTGCGTCCTGAAAGTCACAGATCATTAAAATATTTCACTGATATTAAATCTGAGGCGTGATACCTGCATAAAACCATCTCAGATATTGTGTTTTAATTATAATTTCAAAATGTTCATTTGAACTTGGCACAAAACAAAATGGTAGCAATTTTGCCAATTCAGTAAATCTGCACGCAAAAAAGAAACTACAGTTCCTATATTAACGAGCTATATTAACGAGGTCGAGCTTTTATCAGTCTTGTTATAGCAACACAATTGTTGCTATAACAAATAATTTATGAGAAATCAAAATGTTGTATTACACTCTACGTTCATAAATTTACTTACATTTAGCATAAATAAATCATTTTGTACTACTCCAGTAGTATAAATCTATTAAGCTTCTATCAAAATGCGTTTGCATCAAAACAAAGTTACATAGATTTCTGAAATAATTTCGTTGCATGAATCAAACAAATAAAACAATTGATACTGGCGGTCTTGAGGAAGTGAGGAGCTATCCTACTTTCAGTGTACTTATACAGCTCTAAATCAGTTCGTTTAAATATTAGTTTCACAATAATTTTATGTCCTACAATGATCCATAAATTGAAGCCATAAATTACATTCTTTATTGCCTGGATAATGAATACATTTTTTGTCATTAATTAGGTACTTTATTGAGGAGTGGGTACCTTCCAGAATTCAGTTTGTAACAAGATAACAAAACATTAAGCAATTTTTGACAAAATATTCAACTTTGGAAAAACAAATTTGAGGTCTATGTTGGGATAATAAAAATAATTTCAGCATAGGTTTTCTACATCAAATCAGATTAAATGCATACCTACATTTAGCTGATTAGAAATAAACTTCACTTACTTTTGAAGAATAGCACTGAAAAAAGCACTCCAACACCCAGTCCACCACCTGGCAACAATGAAGAGATTAGATAATCAATGAAAAATTATCAATGATGGAAAACTTTGAAGTTTGATGTAAAAAATATTCAAGAATTTAGAGAAATCTTAATTAACATCCGTACAGACTAAACTGCAGCTCCAGCATTCACTTTTTTATTATTGGCATTCATAAAATTATATTGAAATGCATAGGTTTTGGTGCCGTTCAGAAACCCTGTGTTGACAAGAAAAAAGTTTTTGCCACCCTGCCATGCACCTGTCTTTGATACATATTGGGCACTTTTGGTGTAGGTATATATGTACTTATATGCCCAGAGCAAAGTTTTAGGTTGAACAAGAACTTCAAGAAAAATTTGGCACACATATATGGCATAATTGAATTTGAAATACCTTTGCTGTTTCTACATTAATTTCTGCATTAAAAAATGCTTGGGGAAAAAACTAATGTTGCTATTATTCTTCACAAAGGTGAATTTTTCACAGCACTCCTTTCAAATTTCAATGGGTTATATATAGGTAATTTATAACTTTTAAAGCATTTCTGCAATTTAATGACCGGTCTCTCATGATATACAAACATTTGTATTTAATAGATGGGATATTTTGCTTTAACACGTTGGCCGCGATGTGCGCCATATATGTACACGCTGTACTTCTCAGAATCGCGATGTGTTCACATGTGGTACATGCCTATGAAATATAGATATTTTTATAAAATCTTATTACTCTCTCAAATTTAAAATTTCAATGATACAATTCAATAGGCATGTTAGAGAATGCTTTGAAGTCAACTACTGCTTAGAGAAATAGTCTTATTTTCAAATGCAAGTATTACAAAAACTACAAAATTTGTGTCCATTGATGTAAGCAATATAATAAGCAAAATTCAACACATCTATCTTTGCATGAAAACAAAATAAAATATTTTTTATCGATCTGAAACTACAACATTGGTGTTGCCAGCATCATTATATTGCATACGTGATTGAAAAACAATTATCGCACATGTATGGTTTTCCTTCACAGTCATCAAAATATTTTTTTACCCTCCAATTTTCATATTTGCTACGGCACTTCCCTCATTTGCTGAGAGCATGTTGTAGCATTCATGGCAGCGCATCCTGGTTTTAGTTCTAGTTGGTTCAATGAAAGTGGACTGTTCTCTTTCCCACTTGATAATTTGAGATCTACATCCAGATTTTACTCTCTCTGAGATGCTGCTTCTAACAGAAGCTCAAGACAATATATACAATGAATGATCTCTATAAGGTAAATATAACTGAACTAACAATGTAAATACCATCAATTTTATTCAGGATTTTGAAAACCTGGACACCAATCTCTTTCCGTAGTAATTTCTGTGCGTAATATACATCGTTCACAAAAAGCTAAGAGATACCGGTAGTCATAATGTGTGCAATTATGACTCAAAACTAATGTAGATTACTTGCGCGCATCACTCACAGTAATAAAAGTGATAACTTTAGGCGTTTTTTGGCAATATGAGCCATAGATACATGTCTTTGCTTGGTACAGATCGCCCACAGTATTAGAAGTGATTACGATAGGCGATGTGAGCCAATATGAGCCACAACAGGCATGGCTTCATTTGGTACACATCGCCAGGAATAATGACGAATTTCAACCCTGAGCGATGTACAACAAATACGGTCACCAATTTTACGTGACACAATGACAGAACATACCCCTGCAGAGCTGCACACAACTTTTCTCCTTGCTATCTGCAGGGTAACAGAAGATATACAAGTTTGAACCTATCGCCCATTCGGCATTCGGGCCAAATCAGCAATCGCAGCCAACGTGTTAAAGTCAATTTATCAGTTCTCTCTTGAATTGGAGATTGCTCAAAAATTCACTCCCAGAGTCAATTCTATAAACAAAGCCTATGACAGTTACCAACTCAGAAGTTTGCCACATTGCATTCAATTGGAATGAAACATATAACACACATGTCAAATTTTTATTGTATGCCATCATTCCCACTACCATTATTTATTCTTTGCATTAATTATTCATTTTTGGCAAACTTTGTTAAGTCATGTTAACCGTTCTGATGATTAAAAAAGAATTTGACCCTAAAAACTAATAAAAACTTGAATGTTATCACACAACATAAATTTTGGATTTGCATTTTTTGGATTTGATTTTTTTTTATTTTGGATTTGCATTTGCATGGTCTATGTGATCATGCATTTTTTTTATGCATGGTCACATAGAACATGAGTATGCAGGGCAAAGTTGAAAACTTCCTATTTATTACTAAATCTCATGGCTACAAACTGTTTTTATATATAATTTGAAATTTAGCTGCTCAATTAGGCATTTTTGTCAACAATCAGATATAAAATAAAATAATTCACCTAGCAGGAATCTTGTAGCTCCAAAAATGGCAAGTAAGCTCTATAATGGCTTGGACAGTAGTTATACACATTTTGAAGTGAAAAATTGGCAGAAGTCACCCATGAATGAGAAAAAAGCATTTGTATCCACAGACAGTTAGTTTAATCCATTTCTATAGCTCTTGACTTATTTCTTGAGTAAAAATTAAGAAGAATAGGAAAATTCCTATTATATACATACATCTAGTTTGGAAAATATATACCCACAAGATGGTAACCTATATACCTTATATATCCTGTATACCTAGGTACCTTACCTGAAATATATACCTTCTGAGCAGTGACTTCGAGTTTTTTTTGGATTCTAAGATTCCTGTTAGATGTATTACCTCTTATCTAATTGGTGATAGAAGATCACGATTGGGCTGTGAGATTCAAAATGTCTTGTAAATTTGTCACTTTGGAACCCCAGGGTTTCAACAAGTAGGAAAATTCCAACCCTGAGTATACTGAAATCTTTTGGCTCCATTTTCTGGACAAAAAATCAGCCCATGCCTGGAATATACATACCATCAAACGGGGTAATAAGAGGCAGGCAGGGTAAATCAGGATGCACATCCCACATTTCGTAGAAATGCTGTAGTAGCTAAACTAATAAAAATATTGCAAAACTGAAAATAGTGGCATAAACTTAAACATTTTTACTATCTATTGTGTATAAAGCTAGTTAAGAAATCATACATTTACTATCTCTAGAAAATTGCTGAAAATAAGTGTGAAAAGTGCGATTTTGGAAAAGTACCTCTACTAAGGTCTGGAGCAAAAAAATATTTGCTGTGTTAAAAAATTTTACTTGCATAAAAGTTGCGGTGTCGGCTTGAAAACGCAATTGACAAAATTTGCCTATCTCATTCAAAAAAAAGGCAGCCATTTCCGCATGACGGGATAATAAGGGACACCCCTAAAAATGCATTTACAGTTCAACCTCAGTTAGCAAAGGCTCCAGTTACCAAAAATATCAATTAACAACAAAGAATTTTGATTACTTTTACCTTGCTCAGTGAAAAAATTTCACTCATCAAAAAATTAATGCATCATCAATCATCACAAAATTGTGCACAGAATGTAATTATAGAATTGTGCACTGGGCATCAAAGAATGAACAGTAATTAACCTAAAGTATGTTTTATTTTTCCAAAACTTATGATGGTTGTTTCTAAAACATTCCTTAATTTCAGGTAGTTTTTATGGTCTTTTTTTTGTAGTGAATTCACTTAACCCAATTAAAATGGTAAGAAATTACAAGCTGTCCTATAAGCTTACAGATACAGAAGAAATGCTATACAGCTGCTGATATGAAGCTTGCAGTGGACAAGGTTGTTGTCAATGCTCAATGGCATGTTTATGGATACGGTAATATCACATCTATAATATGGTAATGAATGAACATGGTGATATCATTACAATAAAAGATAAACAAGTAAAAAACATAGAAAATGTCATTTATTCTACATTTACATCATCTACAATGAATCTGAAGGATTTCAGAGTACTGTTAGTAATGGATGAGTACACTCTGCATGCTTCAAAGATTTTCAAATTGAGTTTTATTTCAAGTGTCCCAGATTAACCCATTCCCAGGGGTAATTCAGGACAGTTTTATTTAGTGTCTGGCACCTTACGAATAGCATATGGAATTTTTTGAAGATGCCAATCTATAGCCCTTGCAAAGAGCTATAAAATGAGCTTAAACTTGTTTATGAAATGTTTCATGGTAAGGGATCAACAAAAAATGCTCAAAACCGTCCCTTATTACCCCATTTGACAGTATATCTGCCTTTTGAGCTGCAAGTAGAGTTTTCACATCATTTTTGGAACCAAAAGATTCCCAGCCAAACTGGAAAATTAGGCAGAATTCACCCATGAATTGGACATAAACGCCCTTGAACTGGACAAAAATACCCATGAATCTGGAGAAATTTACCCATTCTTATAAAAACCTATTTTATTCCACAATTTATGAAAATTACCCATGAAATTATCATTTTTATCCGTGATTTTAGAAAATTTCTGCTCAATATTCCAGATAGGATTCCCTCTAAATGAATCAATTTCTATGTAATTGTTAGCAAAAGAGCATGATTGAGCTATAAGATTTTGGAAAATCTTCCCTAATCTCTTGGGAAAGAGCATGATTGGGCTATAATCTGGAGCTACAAGATTATAGTACCAACCAGGGCTGGAAAAGTCCTACTTTTTTCTGAAATATCCTGGCTCTAATATCATAGAATTCAAGTAGGTATGTATGAAATCTTGTGGCTCTAATGTCATGTATTTTTGTTAGATTGAAAAATTGCGGTTTGCAACTTTGCAATCATGTTGTTTCATAAAACTTTATACTTCCGCAATGATGATAAAGCTTTATACTTCCGCAATCTGCATTACTTCAATGTTACCGCCAAAATATCCTGCAAAACGTAATAACAAGTCAACCCAAAACGTTTCCTTGAAGATCACATAGTAGCTGTGGTCATGTCAGAGCGGTCTGACTGCATAATCATGTGCTCAATTGCCACTTAAGTGAAGACCAGGCTGGAATTCTAAGAATGGAAGTTCACTTATAAAAAAGCTTTCCACCCAAGCTGAAAAGCTTTCCCACAGTGCTGTGCCTGTTTGACTGACTAAAGTGACTATAAATGAAAAGGAGGATCAAAAGTGGACAAAATGTTTCAATTTCATAGGACATTAGATTTGTAAAAGAATTATTTGGGTGTCTCTTGTTTGAGATATTTTTTATTTGACTTTTATTTAATGGATTTTTTTACATTTTCCAGGCCTTTTGTTTGTGATGATCAAGTTTCAGTCAAGTATTTAGTTACCAGTACTGTAGTACATATACCATACTTGGGGGCGGGGCTTATGGGCACAACCAATCACAGCTTGAAAGCATCCCCATCAACCAATCACAGCTTGAAAGCATCCCCATCAACCAATCACAGCTAGAAAGCAGATAACATTACAATTCCATTATCCAACCACAGCTGGAAAGCTGAAAGGGGCTAAAATCACAATCCTATCAACCAATCACAGCTGGAATTCTGAAAGGGATAGGATGTGTTAATAATGGACTGAAAGTGTAAACATCCTGGCCTTTCCAAGTTTTCAGGTCCTGCTTTCCAATATGCTATGTGTACTGGTTAATTTATTATCCCTCTACAATTCTACACTGGTGAAGACAATGTTATTTTTGCTGTTTGACTGTTTTAGGATAAAATTAGAGATTTGGGGTAATGTGTGCATAGACTTTGTGAATATGTTTGTGACTCGATAATGGCTTTTCATGCCAAATTCATGGCAAGATATGGAATTCATGGCTTGAGGAAATGGAATCATGGCTCAAAGAAATGTAATCATGGCTGCAGGCTGGCAAATCCATAAAACCACGGCTCAAAAAATTCAGTTGCGGCTTGCCAAGCAGATATATTCCATACCTAGTACTAACTAACTAGAAAAATAACACTAACATAAATACAGACAAATTTGGAATAGCTATTTGGCATAACACAGTAACAAAACAGCTTTATTAGAAATCAGTTCAATTTTAAATTCCTTGTGACACTTGTCTTATAGAATTTCTGGCAAAAAATGACATTTCACCGGTAACTTTCAAAAATTGCAAGTAAAAAAGAAACATTTTTTTATTTTCTACTGAAAAAGTTCTACCTAAACCCTTCCTAATTTTATTTGGCTAATGAAAAGAAAAATGCGTGTTATTACTCCTAATTTTCAAAATTCACACAGGTATGGAATATATCTACTTGGCAAGCCGCCACTGAATTTTTCAAGCCGTGGTTTTATGGATTTGCCAGCCGTGATTCCATTTCTTCGAGCCTTGATTCCATTTCACCGAGCCGTGAATTCCATATCTCGGCCATGAAAAGCCATTTACGAGGCGCGAATTTATTTACAAAGTCCATGCATGTGTTAACCCAAATCTCTAATTTTACCCTAAAACAGTCGAATGGCAAAGATAAAATTTGTCTTTACTGTAAGTTGAGCATGTGTTAATGCAGTCTGACCACTTTGACATGACCGCAACTATGCGCGATCTTCAACAAAACGTTTAGTTGATTTGTTTACATTATGATGTTTATGTTTTTTCTGCAGGATATTTTGGCGGGAAGTCCATAGTGACAAAGCAGAGAGTTTTTTAGACTCTCCCTCAGCCTCAAGTTCATTTTTGAGTCCTAACAAGTAGACCAGTAAAGTATCATGGATACCAGCTTTGTCATACATAAGAAATTGGTTTAAATCTTGAGTAAATGAGGAAATTAAAAATGAACTGATTCTAAAAAATCTCCGGTTTGCCACTATGGTGGGAACGGTAAAGCTATGCGGAATTGCGGATCATAATAGCAAACCAGAGCTATTTTTGAATCAGTTCATTTTTAATTTCCTCATTTACTCTAGATTTAAACAATTTTTTAAGGGGAGCGTCTACCCTAAAAATTATCTCGGCTATTTACAGTTAGATCACTCTGAAACTTGGTACACATATGTAAAATGGAAAAAAACTCGCATTTTATTTGTGTGAATTTTTCGAAAAAAATGAAAGAAAACATGAAATTCTTAGAAAACGGCTATAAAAGGGGGTACTGTAGAAATGGATCTAGTCCTAGGATTTTCAAGCTACAACATTGAGACACATATCATTCGATGCATGAGGTCTTCATCTACAAAATGTTCATCCCCTTTTTTTGAAATTCCAATTTTTGTGGAAGTGGGGGGCATTTTTCCAAAATGTTCAGAAATTTTTTGATTTTCCCCCCGCCACCCCCCTCTTTTTGCAGAATAAAATCCAAACTATAATGAAACTAGAAAAACCGGGATAAACATTTTGTAGATAGTTTATTTGCAAATTGAATGATATATGTCTCATTGTTGTAGCTTCAAAACTCTAGGAGGAGATAGGTTTTCCGTGACAATAAGTGTGAATGTTGAGGAGAGCGCGACAAAGTCCCGAGCACACTGCAATAGGTGCTCAATGTAGCATAGATACCAAACTAAACGTTTCTGGAGCTTGATTCCACTCAAGGATGGTGGGAGCAACTACATGCGCACCTCTCCCTACAAAGCCCGGAGGCACACTGAGCTACACCTCATAGAAACACTGTATTTGTAGTGCTGGGCAGCGAATTAGCTCCTATGTAATTACTGAAAGAACTCTCCCCCCGCCCCCCTTTCATGAAGTGTCGTGAACGTACAAATCAACGTACAGAGATGGTAATGGTACAGTTGGTTAGGCCAGAATGTCGGCTTTAAGATGAGACTAAACACGTAACTGCAGCACAACTCTAGTAGACACTATATTTAAAGAGCTCAGCAGCTAATTAGTTCCTATCTAATTACTTAAAGAACTCCCCCACCCGCCCTCCTTTCATGAAATGTCGTGAAATCATAAATCAACGTACAGATATGGCAGTGGTACCATTGGATAGGGCAGAATGTCAGCTTTAAAATGAGTATAAAAACCGAAAAAGTGAAAATTTTCAATTTTAGGGTAGACGCTCCCCTTAAGTATGATAATGCTGGTATCCAGGATACTTTACTAGTTTACTAATAGGACTCAAAAATGAACTTGAGGGAGAGTCTGAAAAACTCCCTGCTTTGCCACTATGATTATTGCGGATTGCGGAAGTTGAAAATTTTATGAAGTGACATGTTTGCGAAGCGCAAACCGAAATTTTTCAATCAAACAAAAATTTATGACATTTGAGCCGCGAGATTTCATACCTAGGGTAAACGCGGTATATTCTGTCATCGTGGGTAATTCCGTCACCTCTCTAGCTTTTCCTTTATATTAAGCTTTGTTTTAGTTCCATGCGTTCGTTGATGGTTAAAATGATGACGTCATACATTTGTGCGTCAAACAATTGCCAAAACACTAGGTCTTGGCCATCTAGTGGGAAAATATTGAGATCCAAAGAGAGACAATGCACGGCTTTTATTGCACGCTACCCAGTGACATCATTGAAAAATGTGTCAAATTTGACAGTTGACCTTGCTGTACCAAATAATGAATAACTGTTTGTATAGGAAGAATATTATGGTTTGAGACTTTTAAATACGTCTGTGAATATATTAGGAATCCTTTAAGTGTCTGACCGCTCTAATGTGACCAAAACTACGCAATCAAAAAAACGTTGTTTACATTTTTTGCGGGAACTCATCGCAACTGATTTCCGGACAAGCTTCGCTGCATCGTATTCCATCCATCCAACGCACCGGAAACCTTACTTTTTTTCTAAATAGTTGGCCGAAGACTGAGAAATATATTAAATGCAAGAATTTCAATCTAAATGTGTCGGCAAGATCTTCTGAAGGCGAAAATTTGGCTACTGAAGCGTCGCCAAAGATCTTGAAATATTCATCCACTCTCTGCACAGTGGGGGGAATGCTGAGTTCTGTTGCCGTCTTTTCTGCTTCTTTCAGTGCTATGAGTATGAGTGAGTAGTGACTGAGTCTGTATGAGGTACCTACCTAATAATTATTAACATTGACAGGTGACTTCCTAATCTATTTCAAAAAGTTTGTCAGATGAAGCTCCTTCAAACTTCAAAGAATAGAATGCAACAACAATTTTTAAAATGATCATAAATATAGGAAGATTCTTAAAGATTGGACATAATCTTGATTCTTGAGTCTATTCATTAATTTGAAGAAATGCCTAAAAGGTGTCACAACTTGTAAGTTGTAGGCCATAATTAAAGGTAGGATTGTTCTGCAATTTCAAGTTCGGTGTTTACAAATATTAGCATAGGCCTATGCAGATGTGAAAAAGCAAAATTAAAACTAATATCACGTACCCATTTTCACTATAGTATCGGAGACACAACGATCCCATTTTTCTCCTAATATATCTTCCGATTTAGTTTTAGCCATTTTTTCAAGCCAAAACTAAACTTAATTAATATCCTTAAGATTCTAAGGTATAAACACCGACAAGAAACCGATCCTTATCGGTCTGGAGGAAAAAGAATTATCAGGAATTCGTAGCATAGTCCTTTCGATGTGAACATCTGCACGAATTATTGTCTAGCTAAAGATCCTATAATAAAAGCATGTTCAAAAAAGCAAAATCCAGCGACAATCATATATAACTATAGGAGTATTATTATATAAAATGCATCGGAATTTTTAAAATTTATTTGCAAGGCTTTGTATATGCAGGTAACACATATCCTAGCATGAGCACAATTGGGATTTCAGTTAGAGAGAGCACTTCGTCACTTTTAGACCACTTTGAATTTTCCTTCCCATTTGCTTCTAAATATGACACTTTCACCAGGAAGTGTGGGACCGTAGTGTGAAAATAAAAAGTAGAATAGGCTTTAAAGACAATTATGGTCACCATATTGCAGCTCATCAAATATTGACCAAGATGATGGGGAGTAGGGAGCAATTGTTATCATCTTATAGCGTGGCAACAGTTCATAGCCTATATAGGCCATCTCAATTATCATATTTCGACGAAAAAAACACTTGCCGTTTCTAGCACGTGCACTGACCATCGACAGTATCTAAATCTCTAGATGCCTCCCTAGCCTTTTTCACTAGACGTCAAAGAACCACATGCCCCTCGAAAACCTTCTCTGAGGCCACCTGATCTTCCATTTACACACACCCTTTGTCTTTAGCACATCTCTTTCTTTTCCTTGATCTTCTCCTGACCTAGGGACTACATCCAAACCCGACTCCTCACCCTTGCAGCTCGGTTTGGTCCCTATCGGTAACACGGCCTTTTCCTATGTTTTCGGTGCAACGCCGGTTCGAGCCTGCAAGCCATGAGCCTTGGCACAGCCGACTGTCTCATCCCCACCTGCAGTCAGGCTGCCTTCGCCCCTGCTCAACCTACTCCTCTTCTCCGCTTTGCCGGCCAACTGCTCATTATCCTCAAATTCGACTCCAATGGCATTCAGTCCAGCGCAGTGGAACTCTCCTTCGTCCTAGTGAAGTGTAGACATATATAAAACAAAGCATACGGCAACATCGAAGGGTAGAAAAAATATAAACGAAGCTGCGGAGAGACCAGATCCGTTAAGCAGGGTTGTTAAACTTAGCTTATAGCATTCATATAATGCAAAGAACTCGCTCCTTGCTTCTCATCAAAATGATTCAAGCCAAATCGCATTTAATCTTGACAAGACACTCCAGTGCTAGTAGATGCTTTCGTCAAAGTAAAAGATTAAGTTAGTAGAGAACGCTTCGTAAGCCAAAGTTTTACTTTTCAAATTCCAAAAAACGACCCCTTTGAACTAAATTTTTCATTTGCATCAAATTCACCAAGCCACTAGGGTCTACGAATCTTCAATATTCAAAATTTGAATGTTTCATTTCTTGACAAAGTTTTAAAAAGCTGATATCTGATAATTTTCTTCGTACCGATACCCAGAAAGATATAACAATATGATTTTGAATTCCAAATAGGAAAAAACACAACAAAAATTAAACAAACTCAAACAGCGTCGTGTAATATTGAAGTGAATGAGTATAAAAACAACAGTACTAACCGTTCGCCAACTACGTCGCCTGCCGACACAGAGTAAATAGTAACAAAAGTAAAATCGACCTCGCCACAAGAAATTCTTATCACAAAGATACTTTGATAAATTTTATAATTTGAATTTTATTAAAGTGAATTGTGTACGTAGTACAGTGCGAGTTGCTATTTATGGTGAAGTGAGAACTTCAACATAAATACCATGATTACATATTTACCATCTACAACTCATAAAAAAAATGTTTAAATTTTAATGCAGCAGTTAGCTGCGCCTGAATGAGATACTATGCTTGATTATTCAACAGCAGATATTTCCAGCACCGATTACGTTGGTGAAAGATAAGAGTAGGTAAACATTGCGATATGAAAATGAAAATTAAACCTCGCTTCAACGAAACTACCGTCTCAGCCTAAAAAGAAATAGAAGCAAGCAATGAATGAAGCAACCAGCATGTATAAAAATACATATGGGACCAGAAGTACCATCTACAAGGCATGATAGACCAATTACATTAACAATAAAATAGTCGAGATCACAGATATTATAACTTAGGCCGCAGGACATTACGATCCCTTTTCTGAGGCTGTTTCACACAGCTGAGCCAAATCTGTGACAGCTTTCTTTATGGCTTTCATGGACTCCTCAGCGCGATCAAGAAGTTCGACGGCGTCATTCATGACTTCACCCGTAAGTATATTCGTGAGACCTTTTCTCGACAGAATCATCACGTTCTCGGCCATCATCGCGATAGATCGGGCATTTGCGAGGGCAGTAGGAGGCGCGACATCCCTGAGGGATACTTGGAACGCCTCCTCCATGCGCACAAGTTTAGATAGCGCTAGCTTGATTTCAGCGGTGTTCTTATGCCAGGTATTGAAGCGAGTCACAGTTGCAAGGCTTTTTCGGAAATGTTGGCATGCCAGGTCCCGTGATTCGACCGTTGGATTAGGGTTGCAGCTCACAGCTTCCCCGTAGTAATACCACAGGTTCGACTCAGACGGAACACTCTGACACAACTGTCCCAGAAGGCTCACGAGCTGTTTGTAGTAATTATCACCAAGATGAGTCCTAGTAGTTTCATCCATAAGTGGCTTCACTAAGCCTGAGATGACCAGCAGGTTAATATGATTCGGTTTCAACTCAAGAAGTCTCCTGTAATAGCTCAATGAACTTGCATATTGTTCCATGGAAATGCCAACAGTCATGGCATTCTCCAGCATTTTCCAGCTATCAGGTTTGCAGCGCAGCGCCTCTTCGAAACAAGAAAAAGCCCGGCCGAATTCTTTCAGTTCTGTGTGAGCCTTCGCCATGTTGTTCCAGTATTCGAAATGGTGAGGATCGATACTTGTGCAGGTCTTGTACGCTGAAATGCACAGCTTCCAGTCACTGATAGCAAGTGCGGCATAAGCTATTTTTTCCCAGACTTTGAGTTGAATGTAGTTTAGTTTTGTACTCACCTTATAATGCTCGATAGCAGTTTCGTACTCCTTCCTAGAGAAGTAATAGTCACCGAGACATCGCTTAGCACGGCTACTCTTTTCAGCCGAGATCTCAAAAGCCTTGTGGTAACATTCAATATCGTCGGTGGCATCGCCCAGGAGACACCAGAGTTTGGGACTTTCTTCTTTTTCTAGCAGCGATCTGATGATGCTTTCACTTCTTTGACGCATGCCAATTTTATTGTAGCAATCGATGACATCTTCCCATAACTGAAGCTCCTCGAATAACGTCAGAGCGGTTCTGACACATCCCAATTGCATCAAGAGCCTTCCGTACTCCTGCTTAGTGGTCCAAATAGACGGGAGGCCTGACGCATAGAACAGCTTAAGTCTTTCAAAACGAGAAGGGTCTTCGCGTTTAACGCATGCTACCAACTCTTCATACTGCTGCAAGGCACGATCAACGGCGCGTGATTCGTCGCTCTCAAAGTACGAACGAAGTCTAAGAGCATAGTAATGAGTAGCCCAGCACTTTGGGTATTGCAACAGAGCGTGAACAAAAGCTTTGCTTTCTTCTTTTAATTGAACATCATTGGCAGATGCCCGTCTGTTATAATGCACACGAGCTAACAACGCCATCTGTTCAATGGGTTTGAGGTTTGGTACAATGCCAGCATCTTCGTCTTCAAATTTGACATTAGGTAACCTCGTGTCATCGTTCAAGACGATGTCTTTCGGTAAATCTGAAGCAAGAAGCTTAGTGCCTTCTTCTTCAGTGTCGAGGAGAGACTGGTCTAAATATTCCACCTTCAGTAGAAGCTGAGGTTTAGCGTCTACTTGGTACTTAGTTCGTCTTCCCATTGCGCCAAAGAGATAATACTTCAATCTTAGCTGTTCTTCAGCCTGCAACAGGTGAGCATAAGCATCGGCAGTGTAGGTATACAACAACGTGGCTTGAGCTGCTTCAAGATGAAACAATGCGCTGAGTCGTGCGTCATCAACAAGATAATTCATGTTCTTTGTAGCTTCCATGGAATTTACAATGTTTGAAAAGATGTGGTAAGAAGTTTCATCAGCCAAAGTTTGCAGAATCATTAAGTGTCTCATGCGCCACCAGTCGATAGTCAGACAAGAAGGAAACAAATCTTTAATATCATGAGCAAAAATAACCTTGGCCATTAGCAGGTACTCGGGGTCACAAATAAGAGAATAGATGCCTTCGGTGTGTTCAGCAATTGATTTTACTGCTGATTTTGTGATTTCTTCTCTATTTTCTCCGTCTGACAGCAAGCTCGGGAATACTTCAATGAACGAAGGAACTAATAAAGGGCCAGTAAAATTGCTTTGAACAAACAACTGTTGTGCAGCGATCCCGATGGTCATAACTAAAAGTTCTTTGTCTTCAGAAGAATTATTCAACAAATAGGTCTTGAAAATTAATAGTAAGTGTGACTCTAAGTTGCCTGCAGTACAGCTGCCACAGGAGTTCATGATTTCCTGGCAAACGGGAGTCTTCAGAGCCTCCAAGTAGCTACCATGAGCTACAAGACTGGCCACGTTTTGATCTGAAAAAAAAAAACAAGTAATTAAAAAACCTCAAAACGATAGAAACTTGCCACGGAAAAAATCAAAGCTGCCTAATATTTTCAATAGGCATTGTCTAGCTATAATATAAATAATAAATTAATCTGAAGCCCAGCATTACGGAATAATACAAGTAATTTATTCAACATACGGTACTGAACAATAATAAAGTTAATTTCAGCCGATATGTCAATAGACTTAAGTGTTCCATACCATGATCAGGAGCCATGCCATCGGACGTGTGCTCAATGCACATCCTCTCCAATTTTTTCAACTGGCCTTCCATTTTCTCCCACAGAAAGAGTAAAAAACAGGTCAACTTTCAGGACGTTTCTCTGGAAAATTAATGCCACAATATTATGAAAATTTACGATTTTATTCTTCTGCAGAATAATGAAATAATTAATCAATGTCTCCAAGTCTCCCTCATAATTTGAGATGCCACTCACTAACATAAAGAATTACAAATAGATGGTGAAAATTTCATTGCAAGTGAATGATTTGCCACCATTTAATATAGTGTGATGAAATTGAAAACATGTGAAAATTTAAAATAACAGCCACAGAAAACATCAGGAAAATACGGTAAAATAACATGTACAGGGGCTATTGTAACATTAGATTATGTTTAGGAATTAGGAAAGAACTAGCTACACAAACAAAAGTGATCATATACATGTGAAAGAATAATTGGAGTACCACTAACTAATGTATCCCCAAATTGATTGAGGCACTTTCATTGCATTTGTTTCTTGCGCCGGCGGTGCTCGTATGATGGAGCGGTTACGGTGGGGAGCAAGGAAGGGCCCCCGGAAGGGAAGGGAGATGGACAAGGAAGGGTGTGCAGGAAGGCTGGGTGTCTAGGAAGCCTGCTGCCTCTACAGTACTGTACGACAGTGAGGAGACGCCGAGGGTCGTGGAGAAGGAGGGGTAGACAAAAAGATAATGGACTGACGGGAGAGAACACCTGCACTCAGGACAGGCGGCGTTGGGTCTGACCCTAATAGTATAAAAAGCT